AGAAAATAATATTGTAGACGTTCATAATTGTGATTTACGTGGATGAACTTTGTTTACATCCTTGAGATATAAACTCAAAGTACACGCGAAAGTTACACATAGGTGAACGATGCAAGTGCCAAAGTTATAACCCATAAGCTAATGACTGTCCCATAATTTCAAGTTAAATTAAGGGTGCGGGTGGAAGTATATACAACAAATGAAATATGTCGACAATGAGTGTCCCTAATACTTTATATACTCTGCTCCTCTCTACACTAAACTATATACAAACAGGGTGATGTCCTGTATTTTAATTTACCAGAGGAAATAACTCTCAAAAAAATACCCAAACCAGTTTTATAAACCAATCTTTCTAAATCTGATTTAGTTCTCATAATAATTCATTATTACTAATTATTAACTAATTATAACTAATTATTACTGATTTTTTGCTCCAAAATAGTCAAGAACAATTTTTTTTCGCAAAATCAAAAAGAATCAAAAAATTGTTTCAAAGGTTTTACATTAAAAATTGTCATTTAATTTTCTGTGTCAAATAATCGAAAAATAATTTAACTACTAAGTGAATTCAATTAGTTATTTTATAAATAAACGTTTAGTCAAAAAACACTCCTATTCGGATCAGTGACTGCCTTTTTGCTATCATATTCGTTATTTTTAACTAATTCAAATTTATAGAGAGTTTGGTAGAATTTTAAAGGTCTTTTTATAGATGTCCCTCTCCGAGAAATAAGGGGTCGTTCACAAACTACGTCACGTTATTTTAAAACAATTTTAGACCCCCCCTTCACTATTTTTTTTACTTTCAAATAAAATTTTTAAAAATTAGGAAAACTTTTTTTCTTCCTTAAATTAAGATTAAATTAAAATTAAAAATCTAATCTAATCTCTAGAAAAGAGATAATAAACGAGATAATAAACAAAACAAAAAATCCAAATAAAGTGGCACCTCTTAAATATGATATATTTTAATACATCGAATGGACCTTAAAGTGCCGGATGTTAACATTAGAGTAAAGGTGAAAGAAGATTTACGATTCAAGAGATCGGACATTTTTTTTAATTTACTTAATTAAATGCAAAGTGGATAATTGATTATGGAAAATCACACCTTCCTAGACCTTTTCAAATAACCTTCAACGCAATCCTTCAAAAAAGGAAGTTTAATTTATACAAAATAACTGTTAAGCTTGTTATATTATAGAAATCACATTATTCAATTGGAATAAAACGAGAATAAGAAAGAGAGAAAGAGAAATTTTAAACTATATCATCATCACAATCAAATATGCAATGAAATTTATAATTTCCTACATAAATAATGTTTATCAATTTTTTATAAAGTTTTTAAATTCATAATAATAAAAAAAGCTCTCAATTTTATGTATCGACAACTTGTCCTTCTACAAAAACTTGCTTTTTGACAAATATTTTCAAAATTAATTAATAATTTCTGAATTATCAATTTAAAATAAAATAAATTAAAGGTTATGTTTGTGTTAAATTTATTTTCATTAAGTGTCTTTTTAATTATTTAAATTTGAAACCAATTTTTATTAAATATTTTGAATAAAGTTAAAACTTGAACATCAATAATATTCGTAATAAATAATTCATTCCCTTTCTGTATTTTTACTCCAAAAATTGTAAACATAACCTAAAATTTTTTGCTTCTTAACTACATACTTTTTTTGGATGAATAAATTAATAAATATTTCACTAATTAATTATTTTCCCTGACAAAATAAAAAACTAAATTTTTTATAATAATTGTAAGCGTTTAAATAGAGACAAAAAATTACATTCAACGTTCAAAATTTCAGTGACATCATTAAAATTATACACAGAAATTTTATAAATATTTCTAATTTCACAAAGAATTAAAATAGTAAAATAGTTAATAGCATTAAAAATTTGCATTGTTATAAACATTTTACGTCCGTGATTTTAGTTATGATTTTAACTTCATTGTCTCGTGAAGAAGAGGAATTTTAATAAAAATCACGTACAAGTCATTAATCATTAACAAACACGTGTGAATTGTCCAAAGAATATACAGTTGTTTTTACAAAAAAATTAATAACTACTGAGATAAAAAAAGTAGAAATTTTAAAAAACTAAAATAGGAATTTAAAACTAGATAAACGTCTTATTTTCAAAAATTTAAATTAAAAATAAAGAAAAATTCCTTTCATACAGATAATTATATAAATAATTCAGATAATTTTAATAACATAAAAATGACACAATCTCTTGGAAATTGAATAGATGGGTCATTGACTCAATAAAAAAAATATGTTATCAATTTAAATTCCATTGTATGTCAAATATCAGTACAAATACTACTTAATTAATTTTACAATCAACAACGAAAGTAATTAATTATTATTAAATATAATTTTTCGTTTCAAGTTTTAAATATAGTTTTTATTCTTGATTTTAATATTTAGAAGATATATTTTTTTTATTTTTAGAAATTTAATATTTTTTTGATTTTTAGAAAATTTAATTGTTCTTTAATTTTAGAAATGTAATATTTTTTATTTTTATTACATACAAATATGAATAATTAATAATAATATAACATAATTATGTTCTCTAAATAAACATCATATCAATATTAAATATTTCGATTCAATAAATCTGTCAAGGAGGAGTAATTAAAAAAAGTACTTTTTAATATTAATTTCTAAAAATATGATCACTTTGTATAACAAAAGAAGAATACAGACTGAAAGTTTGAATAGTAGCCAAAGAAACTGGGTCATTAAAATATTTACTATATTGTTAAAAAAAAGAAAAAAAACTCGTTTCCTAGTAACTTCATTTTGCGATACTTAAATTCACAGAGTTTTCCTCAAAAGTGTCATAAACCGTGATAAGAGTAATTTCTTGGAAGTGAACTTTTAACTTGCTTATTCAGCTGTTTATTGAATATTTGCAAATTAATATATAACTCAATTATACTAGTTACTATAGATTCTAAAATAAACAAAAAAAATACTCGTCAATTTTCCGTAAATAGCTTAATTTTTAATTTCATATTCTGTACAGGCATTATAAATTTCCCTTTGAATAAACACTACTATTTTCTGACAGTGCGGATTACATAACCTAAAATTTTATAATCTTTTCTTGCTTGTCAAAAATATTGTATCAGCTAATTTATCCAACACTTCTCTATTTCTAAATTAAACATTTCTTTCAATTATTCAAAATCAAATTATTTTTATCAAATTTTATAAAATTATTATTATTATTAATTGTTAATTAGTTTTTCCAAAGTGTTTACTTTCTATTTGGAAAGTTATATTATCAAAATATTGACAACAACAAAATTTTAATAATTTTTTGTTTTCTTTATTTACAAAAAAATTTTATATCAAATTTTTAGAATAAATGAGGAGCTGAAAGCGAAATGTCAATAAAATAAAAATAAAGCAATACGAGTCGATCACTGCCAAAGTGACATTTATGTCAATTTTTTAATTTTAGTTTTTTCTCCTATACAAACGTGTGTTTGAAGGCCAAAAATAACACGTTTACACAAAAAAAAATTATGTAAATTAAACATTCATGAAATTTAATAATTTAATTTTAAAAAATTTACAAAAAGTTTTTTTGTAAATTTAAATTATATTAATTTAATTGTATTAATTATTAATTATATTAATTATTAATCTGTTATTAATTTGCCAGGAAAAAAGTCAAATTAATGAATGAAATAATATTTTAACTGCGGTTTTTAGTATTAAAAATAACAATTCCGAGTCATTGGATAATTTATCACAAGCAAAATAAATAAATACAAAATTACAAAAGTGATGCAATTCAAAAAGTTGATAAATCCATTTTTAAGGAAGAATCCAAAGAATATTAAATTTGGTAAAAGCGCGAAAAATACAGTTTTCAATATTTTGAAAGAATTTAAAGTTCCATTTGAATAAAAATAACAATCTGTCAATAAGAATCGCTTTTGGTAACATAACCTAAGATTTGAATATAGTTAGTTCTCTATTTGTAAATAGTCCTTACTGACAAAAATTACTATTTTTATTCAAATGCAACTTTTATTTTAAATATCTAAAGTTATTTTTTTTACCCTTCCATTAAAACGAATAAAAATTCATCTTTTTCTATCAAAATGCGAAATGACATTGAACTTTTTTTTTTAGTCCATCAGATTCTTCTTTGAAAAAATTTCTTTGAAACATAGTTTTTTAGTGAATAATATTTAAATATTATTTTTAAGAATGTTTAGCAATTATCGTAGAATAATTCTTTTTTATAAAATAATTCATGAATGTTTCTTTCACATTTTTGTAGAATTATTGCAAATCGTTATCTTCAGGAAATATACTTTGTTTTAAAAATATTCGTTTGTCAACGTTGTGGACCAACTTTGAATAATATGAACAGAAATCCTGTGTTTAGAAAACTTTCAAAAATAGATTTATCACTTTTCGTCCAATTGCTCTTAGATAGAAAATAATTAATAGTTTTCACTTTTATTACTTATTCTTTCATTTTTACTTTTTATAATAAAAATTTTACTTTATTAAAACCCAACAATTGTTATTTTTAACACCAATATTTCAAATTTTTTTTTTCTTTTAAATTATCAGAAAATGTTTATTTAATCATCGCAGCAGAAAGTAAAAAATTCAACTCTATTTATTTTCGACAAATTCAGATTTGTAGAACTAAAAATGGAGCAGTCCGTTTGTGTAGTGTTTTCGTCATGAAATATTACATTGAAAAAAATGAAACAATCGAAAATAAATGTAATAATTGAGTAGAAAATAAAAGAAATACTATGCTTGGGACATTGGGAAAGTTCATGGGCCAAAGTGAGGACCTTGCCCAGCAGAAGTGAGCAGAAGGGTGGACGAGGCCTCTCTCTTTGACACACACGGGGTCATTTAAAAAAGGGGGGAAGAGGGGCAGCAAGTGTTGTACAATAGTAGAGAACCACGAGGGTCGTTTAAAAGACTCACCAAGTAAAAGGAGCTTGAGTTCCCGCCTGGCATCACGTTTATCCCTCCTGAGTTGACGTTCAATCTCCTGGTTGATTCGTTTCTGTTCCTTGGCCTCTTCCGACAGGCAACACGCCATGATTCAGGGCAGTGGGATCCTCCTCGACGGGAGGAGGGTGTGTGAGGGGGGAGGGAGCGACAGAGTAGGCCGCCCGAGCGCGACAGCCAGCGGGCACTCTTGATCGTCGTCGTCTTTGCCGTTGTCGTCGTCGCGGTCGCTTCGACGTATTTATTATCTTGCCAACGTGAAAAGCACCAATTTTTTGTCTCGCCTTCTTGTCGCCGTTTTGCTTGCTTTATAAAAGCGCTGCCACTGACCTTAGAACCCGTCGTCGTCGTCGTTTCTATATAATTTCTGATCCTTATCTCTTTTGCTATTTATCCGTGATTCTTGTTTTCAATTATAATTTCTAAATTTCTGTTCAATTTTCCTTTTGGACCTTTTTAATATTCTATTTTCTTTTTTCACCTCGATCACTACCTCTTTTTTTCACATGCGGCGGAACACTCCTGACAGGGCTGGATGACGCCAGCGACACACCGACACACTGTACTCGGGGCAGAGAATAAAACCGGTGAAACACACACGCGTTTTCCTCGGTGCAGCCGAGCTTAAAAATCGCCGGTTGCACCTTCTTTGGCACTTGGACCAGGACGTTAATTCCGGTGACCCGTCGACCACCCTGGTGGTCCTTGGGTCCCTCACCCTGTACACGCTTACTCGTACGCCTTCGTTCACTCGACTCCCGGCGCGGTTGGGTGTGACCCACCGCGCGCGCTCTCTCTTCTGTCTGTCACTTTCTCTCTTTCTCTCTCTCACACTCTCTTTCGCTCTCTCTCTCTCTCTTTTTCACACACACCTCTTTCTCGCACACATACACAGTTTTTCTCCTCTACTGTGTGTTATATATTCCGTATCCACGCACTAGGTTATCTATATTTGTATATATGAACGATGCACTGTGTCACACACTCAAGCCAACCGCCATGAACTTCGCCGAAGGTGAAGAGGAAATCGTCTGCTGTTAAATACTACTACTTGCTACTGCTGTGCTCTGCTTCCCACACACGAACGAACAGCCGGTGCCGAAGCTTAGAAATTGTTTAACGTCCCTGACTGTGACTCGGCTCTTTATCAAGCCTCGCTCGCCGAAAATCTTATTAGGCCAAACCAGATTGGTGAAGCCCGAGTAAAGATGACTCGTCGTCGAGGTAACACAGTCAGACGCGTTCGAGCGGCGCGCACGTGTCTTCACACTAACAAGATTAGAAAAATCAGCCAAAGAAGAGGCTGGAGCAGTTGCCACAATCTGCCGAGAGGAGGCACGGACGATGGCACGTACCAACTTTTCGTATTTTTTAGGTTAAAAAAGTATTTATCCGGCAATTTATCAAAAAAGTTGTGCACTTCTAAATTCTCAACAATTGCACCTTTAAAAGTAAAAGTAGATTCTCGATATTGTTCTGTTTGTTCTCTATCCTTACTTGTTTAGAAAAAAATACGTCTCTTTTCCTCTCGCAGTGTATGTCGATTTTTTTGTCTCTTTCTCGAACAAGAAATTCCCTCTTTTTCCCCTCGACTTTCCTTGCTCTATTCACTTGTCTAATTTCACCCTGGATAAAGTCCAGTCTATTTCATCCATTCGTAGGGACAATAAACACATCACTAAACTATTCAATAACTTCTACAAACTGTAAAATAGTTTATAAAAAGACGCAATTTCACACGCGAGATTAATCTACCAGACATTCACTTGATTCACTTACTCACACTCTAGTAAACCGCCTTGTCGCAAGATGGCGCTCAATACAATTTTTGCCGGTTCGACAGGGGCGACTCTAGTCCCATTCGCACCCTGCGCTCTTTTCAATTTTTGCAAAATTACAATTTTTTGCTCTTTTCCAATAAAAAAAATTTTATTATTAAAGAAAAAAAGATCTTATTCTCTAATTTGAATAGCTTGATTGATTATATTATCTTGATTATTAGTAGTCTTCAACTAAAATAACGAAATTGTAAAAAATTGTAAACTTACTGCTTTTTTGGACAGGATTATTTTCGTAAAGAAATATTTTCTTTCTAAACCTCTTGGATCTTATATTCTTCTACCGAAAACAAATTCTTCTTATTCTATTCTTCATTTCTTCTCCATAACTTCGTCATTGAAATCATGGAAGTTTGAGTAAAAAAAAAAGTTCCGTTTGAAAATCAAGCTCAAAATTTCACTCTCACTGAAACAAATAAAATAAAACAAAAAATAAAATTATTCGTAAATTCTTCAATAAAAAATATTTTAGAAAATAAAAACTTAAAATAATATAAAAGAAATTCAATTATACTTTTTCAAAAAAATTAATTTCAAAATTCAATTATTTATAAAAATTCGAGCTATATTGCTTTTAATATTCAATTATTATCTAAAATCTTACCTGAAATTCATTTTTAAATCAATTTTTATTTATTTTATCCAAAAATAAATAATTCATTGAATAATTGAATGTGTCGTAAAATTCAATTCCAATAAAAATTTTTTCAACAAAATTTTTAAATAATTAAATTCATAATTAAACTTTTGACGAATTTTAATAAGATTTTTAAGAATAATTACATTTTTCGAGAAATTGGATTAAAACTGTATTGAAAATAATTAAAAATCCTGCGATGAATTTTATTATTTGTGAAAATAATAAAACTCATCGAAGAAGACTTTTATTATTTTTGTATAATATTTTAACTGAAATCCATTTTTAAATAAATTTTTATTAGAAAATTCTACTAGAATTCAATTAGTTAAATACAAAAAAAAATTTATCGAATAATTGCATGTTTCTTAAAATTGAATTCTCATAAAGAATTTTATCAATAAATTTCTAAATAATTAAATTCTTTTGACGAATTTTAATAAAATTTTTGAAAATAATTGAAATTTTGCCAAGAATTTTATTAAAATAATTGAATTTCGGAGAAATTTAAAAAAATTTTTGAACATAATTGAATTTTTGCGAAGAATTTTATTATTTTTGAAAATAATTGAATTTCGGAGAAGAATTTATTTAATTCTAAATATATTTAAAATTTTAAAGAGAATTTCATTACTTTTGAAAATAATTAAATTTTGGAGAAGAATTTAATTGTTTCTAAAGACAATTGAAATCCTGAAGAGAATTTAAAAAAATTTTTGAAAATAATTAAATGTTCGAGCCCTGAATGAATTAAAGAAAAATATAATGTTTTCGCCAATTCGAACCGATTTTGAATTCAAATTAAACGAAAAAATAATACTCGTTACCAGATATTAAATAATAACAAAAATATTTGTTGCAAAGTATAAAAATCCGAGTCATTTAAATTAAATTAAATTTCGCTAAAGCTCTTCCTGCATCCTTGAATTTCTGAATGTGAAGCTCAAGATCGTATGAAACACATAACTGAATTTTACCTTCAAACTTGCCAGTTCTCTTTGGTTTGAACTTGTAAAACAAACAAAGCCCTTGGCATCGATTTTTAAGCAGATTAGGATTAGGAGGGGCTTCTCGCTTTCTATAATTTGTACACATGCTTCCGCAGAATTGTGAAATTTAATACTGGAATAGAACCAAAGCCATTTTGTCACTTTTTATCGACCTTGCTCGTTGAAACACGTTTAATTCAATCTTGCCATCAATAATCCGATTCATCCAAACAAAAATAATTCCACATTATCATTCAATCTAAAACAAAATCCAAACAAAAAAATTACATACAAAAGAAAAGAAAGTAAAACAATGTAAAGAAAAAAATATTTTGACATGCCATGAATTTCAAAATAATGTTTGAAAAGTAAAAAGAAATATAACCTTTTTGGTTGATCATTTTGGAACTGGATTTTCGACTGGTTTAAATCTTCCTAAGATCGCAAACAATGGTTCATTACAAACCACTAACTATTTATTATCATCGATACCTAATCGATACAGGCAGTAATTACAATTATATAAGCATTGTATTCGTTACTATAATATAATTTATGCTAAGGTTATGGGTTTTCCAGTAGAATTAAACAACATGACGTAAAAGTGACAAATGAAATAACAATGGATAGCTAATATATTGTTGTAACTAATCACCTTATCGTCATTTTTTTATAATATATATATAGAAATTTCTTAATATTAGAATCAATTGATATTTCATTTTATAATGTGCATATTTAACAAAAATTTTCTTTAACTTTCAAATTTCTGTCTCTGTCACTGAATGCGCACAGTGGCACAGTTTGCGTTTGCGCTCAATTACTTTTAATTAATCGAAAATACAATTCCAATCAAAATAACTATTCGTTTTTATAATAAAACGATTAAAAATTTTGAGACTTAAGTAAAAAAACAAGAATAACCCACTCGTGGTTTAGCTTAAAGGGTTTAAAGGGTTTAAAGCGTTTTCAAGAACTAAAAGAAAGTTAATTTTTAGGTTAAGTTTTGATCCAGAAAATTCGATTCGATAATCGATTCGTGTCTCGATGTTTGAAGCGCGAATTTTCAAATTTCGGTTAAACTGTGCGCATTCGTGTTGCTCTGATAATAATTTTATCAAGCACAACTTTTAAACTATAAATAAATGTGCGCTCCGAAAAAAACTAAGAAGCAAAAAAATTTAGGTTATGTTTGTAATTTTCGGAATGAAATTCGTATCCAAATTTCCACTATAAAACACTGTTTTACTTTTAAGTCTTCATTTGGTCCAAAATATTCGATAAAAACTAATTTCGGTTGTAAACGAAAAACAGAAAGTTTGAATTTCGGTAAAAATGACACAAACATAACCTAAAAATACATTTCTTCTTAGACGCCTTTTTTCGCAGCTCGTCACAAATAATACACAATATTCTCGCATTGATAAAAACAACATTTTTCTGTAAAAAGAAAATGACTCGATTTACAGCATAAACTTAAATAATTCAATAATTGAAATTTCGTCATTATTTGAACCAATTTGAAAAATTAATCATCGTAAAAAATCGGAATGTTCAAAGTTTCAAAACTTGAAACTGTCGAAATTCATTTTCCGAAGTCTATATCAATAAAAATGAATTATATAGAATTATTTCAAATTTTATTACATTTCAGTTTCGAAAATTCGAAATTCGTCAAAAATTTCCAACTAGATTTTAATTTTTCAAGAGAGAAAAAAAAAAGAAAATTATGGTTTTTGGCACAATTTTCGTTGCAACTGTTCGAAAACAAGAAATTAATAAATATTATTAAAGAATACGCTGTAAATCAAATCATTGAACATAAATCGAGGTACATACATTTTTTAATCATGTAGCAAATGGATCGAACTTTAAACGCAGATATGAATTTTAACCATTTTAACAAAAAGAAAAAGAACAATCCATGAATTAAAGGTTTCAGGTCATGTAAAAGTTATTCTTTTCTTTTTTTTACACTACAAAAATGTGCGAATAACTTTCTTACAAGACGCGCTTCGAAAAAAAGAACCTATAAGAAACAAACACTTTTAGGTTATGTTGGTTTTTTTTTTTTGGTTTTTTTTTTTTTTTTTTTTGGTTTTTTTTTTATGTTTTACTTTTAGGTTATGTTCGTAATTTTTGGAATTAGAATACAAAAAGAGGACAAACTCTCTCAACATAAATAATTGTTTCGATTCTTCGTCAGATAAAAAATATTCCATAGAAACTGAGCTTAGTTTTACAAAATTAGTCAGAATTTTCTAATTTCGGTAAAAATGATACAAACATAACCTTTTGATATAAAATATCAAGAAAATTATCAATCCTTCAAGTCAAATATTAAAATAATAAAAACACAATTATAATGTTTTTTAAAAATTTTTAATTGTGTTTTTATTATTTTAATATTTGACTTGAAGGATATTAAATATTAAAATAATAAAAACACAATTTTAATGTTTTTTTTTTAATTTTTAATTGTGTTTTTATTATTTTAATATTTGACTTTGTAGGATTGATAATTTTCTCGATATTTAATATTATTTTTTACCGAGTGATAAATTCTACATTAATACTGTTTTTCTTAGGTGCCTTTTTCAGAGCGCGTCTTGAAAAACCTGAACCATTATCGTCGGTACTATTTCCATGACAATTTTTTAGCAGCAAAAAAATAAAATAAAAAAAAAATTAATGCGACAGCCGCAATTTTTTAAAAAGTGTTATACAAATAAGGATTTTAATATACGCAGTTAACAATCAGTGTGTCATAAGAAAAATCGTAAATAAAATGTAGATATGCAGTCATTAAATAGATCCCATTAGTAGAATAATAAAATGCGTTTCATACAAGTCTGACAATATAATAAGTATAATGCAATATATAATGCAATCCGTTCGATTCAAATAATCTAACTAAGGTGTATGTAATTGGAATTTCCAAAGAAAATCATCTAATGGGAACTATTCCTTTTTTTTCCTTTCACATTGGTGTTTTTCGTTTCGCATCGAAATTACTATTTCTCTCGATTGCGAATAGATAAATTGGACCACGTTTAATTTGGCATCATCTCAAATGAGAATTGTTTGTTGTTCTATCATTTTTTTTCACTCCCCCCTCCCTCAAATATTTGTATATATATGTAAATAATCTAAGATTAAGAATTAATTATTTTCTTAACGACAAATTCGGTGGCCGCAAAGTTACTTCATAAAATATTCTTAAAAATTATCTATGTACAATTTTTTTTTCCTTTTTTTTTCTTCATTCGTAAAATAGTATTAATTTAATATATATTTATATATATATATATAGATTTTTTTATGTTGTATAATTGCTTGTATGTAGATAAGATGTATTATATTAAATCATTAATTAAATATCTCATTTGATTAGTGATGCACATATCATTGATAATCGATATGAGAGAGGACAATTCCATACTCTAATAAAAAAGCAGTGAATGTCAGTTGGCACAGACAGTGGCTGGTTAAGGCACTCTGGGTTTGAAATACTCGGCAGTACCCTCCAGCAAATACTATCTCATTGTTTACGACGTTTACGATAATTTACAGTCTCGTAATTTGCATCTTTTCTTTCTCTCTTTTTTTTTTTTTTTTGAAATCCCACTATTTATTAATCTCCTATAAATACCTTGACTGACTGCAAGATTCTCACTTTCGGTAAATAACATCGTTTCGACTATGTTAAAAAAAATACGCTGTTTCTGTGAGCATTGGAGTGTACGTTGCACATTGAGCAGACCATTCACAGAGGCTTCGTAAAGTTTGCCGGAAACATTCCCTTTTCATTGGTGCCTTCCTTTATTCCCATCAACCAACCTTCCTCCTGAAAAAAATTAATTGAAAATTAATACAATTAATACAATATTATTTCTCGTGAACTAAAAAATTATTTTTTGTGAACTAATAAATTATTTCTTGTGAACTAACAAATTATTTCTTGTGAACTAATAAATTATTTCTTGTGAACTAACAAATTATTTCTTGTGAACTAATAAAATATTTCTTGTGAACTAACAAATTATTTTTTGTGAACTAATAAATTATTTCTTGTGAAATAACACATTTTTTTTAACGGAGTAATTCAACAGACCGATTTCTAATTTTTGATTCTCCGCGATTTTAGCATTATTTGATAGAATTTTGAAGTTTGGAGTGAAAATAAAGAGTGTTTTTTGAAATAAAAAAAAATACAAACCTGCTCTTCTGGATCGTCGTACTCGACAACACGAATTGTTTCCCCAACTTCAAAGGAAAGCTCGTCCACGTCTTCGCGATTATATTTGTACGTTGCCTTCACCCTGTAAAGAACTCCAGCTGGCAAGTTGTCGGTTGTCGCCCCTGTAGATAAATGGGTACCATTTTCATATTCCACCTCTAAAAATTATTGAATTTGCTGCCATTAAGTATCGATCTGTGTCTTTAATTCATTTTTTTTTTCTCTACAAGATCATGCACACAATGGCAGGCAAATTATCATCAACTTTTTCACATTCTTTCATTTATTTTATTCATTTAATTTATTTCATTATTTCATTTATTTCATTTATTACATCTATTTCATTTATTTCATTATTTTATTTATTTTATTTACGTTAATTATTTTATCCTATTTTCTGTCATATTTCAGGACTGTCACAAAAAAATATTATTTTCTAGAATTTTTAACTAAAAATCCTTCTTGAAATCAATTATTTTAAATTTTTGAAAAAGTTCTTTTTGAGAATTTTTAAATCCATTTGTTTACGATTCAATTTTTCGAGAAATTTCAATTCCTCGGAAATTCTTCAATTAAAAATATATTAGAAACTAAAACTTTAAATAATTTTAAAAGGAAATTCAATTAAACCTATCCAAAAAAATTAATTCTACAAAATTGTTGGTTTTTTAACTAATAAGTTTGTAGAATTAATAAAAAATTCAGATTTTCAAAGATTTTAATTTAAAACTTTTTAAAAATTCAATTGTTTTTTAAAATTCACAGTACAATGCTTTTTATACTCAATTATTACCTACAATTTATGACGGAAATTAATTTTTAAATCAATTTTTATTAGAAAATTCTAGGAGAATTCAATTATTTAAATATAAAAATAAATCATTTATTTAATATCTGAATATTTCTCAAAATTGAATTCTCATAAAGAATTTTACCAACAAATTTTTAAATAATTGAATTTTTTTAACGAATTTTAATAAAATTTTCAAGAATAATTACATTTTTCAAGATACATTAGATTAAAATTGTATTAAAATTATTGAAATTCGACACTGAGTTTTTTATTTATAAAAATAATTGAATGCTGGTAAAATTTTTTTATTATTTATGAAAATAATGAAATTATTGGGAAGAAATTTATAAAAAAAATTGTAAATAATTGAATTCTTATGAAAATAATCGAAGTCTTGCCAAGAATGTTATTAAAATTTTTGAAAAAAGAATTTCATTAAATTTTTAAATTAAATTTTTGTGAAAAATTTTATTAAAATTTTTGAAAAAAGAATTTCATTAAATTTTTGTGAAAATTTTTTTTAAATAAATGAATTTTTTTGGAATATTTTATTAAAACAGTAGATATTATAAATCATTTAATTGAGGAAAATAATTGAAAATTTTTTCAAGAATTACATCAAAATTTTTTGCAAATAATTGAATTTCGGAGAAGAATTTTATTATTTATAAAAATAATTGAAATTTTAGTGAGAATTTCATTTAATTTTTTAACATAATTGAATTTCTGCGAAGAATTTTATTACATTTGAAAATAATTGAATTCTCGTGAAATTTTTATTATTTATGCAAAAAAATTAAATTTTTGCATAGAATTTTATTAAAATTGTTTTTAAATAAATGAATTCTTTTGGAATATTTTACTAAAATAGTAGATTTTGAAAATCTTTAAATTGAGGAATATAATTGAAATTGTTTCAAGAATTTCATAAAAATTTTTTGAAAATAATTGAATTTCGGAGAAGAATTTTATTATTTATAAAGATAATTGAAATGTTGAAAATGTAAAAAAAATTTTAAAAATGAAAATTATTTTGAGAGTGCATCACATTTAAAATTGCATAACTTAATTAATTTCAATTTCATAACTTTAATTTTTTCCAATTCCTCTTTTTCTTGTAAAATGTAATTTTGTGTTTGTAATTATTTTAATTTAGCAATTGTGTGACCGTTTCAGTTTATTTTTAATTTGTAGTTAATCTAACGTGTGAAAGTTAATCTAATGTATAATTATCAATCTATTGTGTAATCATAATTATTATGAGCTAATTGTAATTATTGAATAAATACCGAAAAACGATTTCAGTAATGCGTAAATACTGTAATCGTGTACAACAAAAATACACTTGTTAATAAAATTAGTTATACATTCAAGTTAATTACAAAAACAATAATTACATTTTTTGTAGCATTTCATAAAACATTTGCCACACAAATCAGTTGTCAAATCAAAATAAATATCATTGCGTTAAGATAATTCATCTCATTTATCTGTTAAAAAATCTTCTGTTAACACAATTTTTCTACAGATATTAAATTGAGACAAAAAAACAAATCAAAATGTTTCGAAGCAACGTTTTGATTCGTTTTTTGTCTCAATTTGATATCTGTAGAAAAACTGTGAAATCTTTTGCAGTACAAAACGGAAACTGCTTAACTTTATTTTTTTTTACAAATATTTAAAAATTAAAATTACAAAAATTGTAATTCACGAAATAGAAAAATGTTCTTTTTTGAAATATATCAGACACAATTTTTTCAACCGACAAACAGATGAATTATCTCTTCCAATTTTTTTTCGAATGGGGTGAAAAATGATACTCACCAACTGGTATATCGTACAATTCCTCAACTCTTTTTGCAGGTAAAATTGCATTTTTCGTGGATTCATCTTGATTATTGAGGGAATTATCATTGCTGTTAGAGTTGCTATTAGCATTGCTATTGACATTGCTGTTAGCATTGCTGTTAGCATTGCTATTAGCGTTGCCATTTAATTGAGTTGTTGGCGAGGAATCGCCAGTTGCTGCCGCAGTGGAATCCTCCAAAGCTGTAACATGCAAAAATAAAACCACACTCACAAACCAAACACAATTTCAATGTTTCCTAATTAATTAGCATTGCAAATAAATACACGATTTCAATTTTATTTTTCTTGTTAAATATGACAGAAAAAGCACATAAACATTTATATATCTCTCTCTCTCAATGCAAATTATTAGATTATTATTTATTCGCGTGTATTTAATTTTTGAAAATTTTTATTACCTGGTGAAATGTTGTTGTGAGCCGGTTGTGTATTAATTATCAATCTGGAAATAAAAAATACTCGGTTTTTAAATTTTCCAAAAAGAAAGAAGAAAACAAATAAGAAAAGACAAAAAATACAGAAACAAACCAGAATTGTTTGTTTTTTAATTACATATTTACGAATATATTAATGAATAGAGACCTAAGAGAACTTACGCAGAATTAGCGTTTGGTGATTTAGGTGACTGGGAATCTGAATTATTTTTCAAGCTGTATGAGCCTCTTTGACTGTCGTTCGCCAATTTATCGACTATCGCCTCGAGCTCCGAGAAAACCTGCAGCAATTTAATAAAAATGATTGAGATTCAATCATAATTATTGTAATAATAATAAAAATAGTAATAATAAAAATAATAATACAAATAATAATAAAAATAATAATAAAAAATAATAATAGATAATAATAATTAATCTTAATTAATTATTACAATAATAATTATTTAATTCCACTTTTGATATAAATTATTATTATTTATATTAATATAAATAATAATAATTATCATCATAATAAAAATAAATAATTGAAATGAAAATAATTAAGAAAAAAAATAATAAATTAAGAAACATTAAAACAACTTGGTCTCATTATAAAATGAGAGAATTAAATTTACGCAATTTTTCCAAGTATAAGATATAAAATTGCAAAACCATAATATTAAGTTTCGTACCTTAGCACTTTCGGCATGAAAAACTTGTTCCGCTGCGAAAAGAGTTTGAAGATTAGTGACCAGAAAAAGTACACGTGAATCGTAGAGAGCTGGCAATTCGTCGTGCAACTCGGAGTTTAATTGTTCATAGGTTCTTTTAGCTTCGTCCAAGAGCTCCTTGCCCCGAGTGACTTTTAGCTCGTCCCTTTTCTTTGGATTACTTTGCAGTGACTGGAAGGCGTGCCTTTGACTATCGTAATCCACCAACTTTCGTCCTCGTTTGTCAACTTTTTTCTATTCAAATAAAGCAAAATAATAAATTCAAAGTAAATTGAAAAGTAAACTTTTCAATATCAAAATATTGTTTTAACAACTTCAGACTTCGCACTCGATAACTGATTTTAGCAAAAAGTAAAAAGTAGCTTTCAAACTAAAAAAATGTAATAAAAAAATATTAAAAAATTAGCGAACGATTTTATTAGAATTTTTTAAATAATTGAATTTTCAAAAAGAAATTTATTGCTTTTAAAAATAATTGAATTCTTGTGATGATTATTGTTATTTATGGAAATAATTGAATTTTGCAAAGAATTTTATTGAAATCCCTCAAAATAATTGAATTTTCGGGGAAAATTTTGTTATTTATCGACATAATTAACTTCTTTCGAAGAATTATTTATGTAAATAATTGAATCCATCTAAATAATTAAAAAAAACATTTTTTTAAATAATTGATTTTTTCGAGAAATTAAAATTAAATTTGTAAAACTAATTACATTTTTCGAGCAATTCTTGTAAAATTGTATTAAAAATAATTGAAATCTTGCAATGAATTTTGTTATTTATGAAAATAATGGAATTATTGGGAAGAAATTTATAAAAAAAATAGTAAATAATTGAATTCCTGTGAAAATAATCGAAATCTTGCAAGAATTTTATTAAAATTTTTTAAAATAATTGAATTTCGGAGAAGAGTTTTATACTTTATGAAAATAATTAAAACTTTGACGAGAATTTTATTAATTTTTTAAATTAAATTTCTGTGAAGAATTTTATTAGTTATGAAAATAATAGAATTATTGCTAAGAAATTTATTTAAAAAATTTGTAAATAATTGACTTCTTGTGACATTTTTATTATTTATGAAAAAAATTTAATTTTTGCGTAAAATTTTATTAACATTTTTTTGAAATATAGTTTTTTTGGAATATTTTATTAAAATAGTAGATATTAAAAATCATTGAATTAAGGAAAATAATTTGAATTTTTCCAAGAATTTCATCAAAATTTTTAAAAATAATTTAATTTCGGAGAAGAATTTTATTATTTATAAAAATAATTGAAATTTTGACCAGAATTTTATTAAAGTTTTTCAACATAATTGAATTTCTGCGAAGAATAATTGAATTATTCCGAAGAAATTTATGAACAATTTGTAAATAATTGAATTCTTATGAAATTTTCATTATTTATAAAAATAATGAAATGTTTGCGAAATTTTTATTATTTATGAAAATAATGAAATATTTGCGTAGAAATTTATTAAATTTTTTTGAAAATAATTGAATTTTGAAGAAGAATTTTATTATTTATGAAAATAATTGAATTATTTCGAAACATTTTATTAAATTTGTTTAAAAAGAATTGAATTTGTGTGAAGAATTTTGTTTTTTTTTTAAATAAAAGAATTCTTAATAAGAATTTTATAAATAATTATTATTTTAAATAATTCATTTTTTCGAAATATAATAAATTATGAAAATTTTATTTTAAATAATTGAAATCTTGTGGAAAACTTTTTTTGTGAAAATAATTGAATTTCTCGATTAAATAATTTAAAATAGTATTTAAAAATAATTGAAATTCTTCGATGAGTTTTCTTATTTATGAAAATAATTGAATTCTTGCTTAGAATTTTATCAAAAATTTTTCTAAAAAATTGAATTTCCATAAAAAATCTTATCATTAGTGAAAGTAATTAAATTATTGTGAAGAATTGTTTAAAAATTTTGTTAACTATTTGATTTTTTCGAAAATCCTTTGGATATACTATTCTAAATTAATTGAATTCCTGTGGAAATTTTGAAAATAATTAAATCGTTTTAAAGAATTTGATTACAATTTTTTCGAATAGTTTTTTGATTTCTAGTATTATCGAATTTAAAGTAGTGGAAATTCTAAAAAATAAACAGAAATAGTAGCTTTTATTGGCTGAAATCTAAAAATAGTACCCAAATAGTAGCATAACGTAAAAAAATTGTAAATAATAGGTTTTAGTATAGATGAGTGCGAGACTGGAATAAACAAATAGATCATAATTGAATTGAAAATAAAAAAAAATCCTCATATCTTACCCGCATTTCTGGAAACTGACTTTGATACGTGTTTAAAGGTAAGAGCACTTGATCGGCCAATTTGTGAGTGAAGTCTTGCCACAGCATGTCGAGATTCTGTGCTTGTACGTAGAGAAGATCGTGCCCAGTCCATTGGCTTTCGTAGATTTCATTCAAGGAGTCCATAAGCGTCTTGGATGCTGCCTGCACCGCTGGAATCATAAGTGAAAATATATTACCAATTGCACAACAATTTGCCCTTTAAACGCCAGTGCAAATGTCGCGAATTACCAAGAAGAGAGAGAAAGAGAGACTATACAGTATAAGAAACGACGTAAATATTTAATAACATTGATTAAACGATATGATAGATCTCTCCACAATTCATCTCGCAAAAAAAAAAATACCAGAAAAAACTCAATTTAAATGCTTCAATAATAAAATTTAAATTTTAAAATAAATCGTTTACAATTATTTAAAATTATTTAAAATAAATTTTTCAAAATATTATTTAAAAACCTAATTTTTAAATTTAATTTAAATTTAAATTACACTTTTTTCTTTTTACTGAAATAGAGTATTACTTTTATAGAATGAAACGCGCTCCGAAGAAAGCGCACCTGTGCAAAAAATTTAAGGTACCTTTCTTTCGGAGCGCATCACAGTTATTTTTTTATCAAGAAAAATTAAAAATTTATTTATTTTATTTTTTTTCCAAACGTGTTTGTGTGTGTGTGTGCGAGACAGGAAAAGAATCACTTTCTTGACCTACTTTTGTATATACACAGACAACTGACAAAGTGCATTCACCTGTTACGATAAGACAAACACTTGTAAAAGTGAATAAATTATATACAGGAGTAAAAAGTTACAAAGTAAATTACAAAGTTATGTTTCAGACAATAAAACTTTCAGCACAAACAACGAAGGTCGAGGAAGTGTTTTTTAAAGTCATTTTTATTTCAAAACATTTTGCATTTCAAAAAAAGTAAATAATCCTTTTCATTTTCGTCATTATGTATCAAACTTTTATCACTGCGACTGTAAAAAAATGTAAATACCCTGCATTATTTAAGAATTGCATAAATAAAAACAAATTATTTGTTTTTATTTATGCAATTATTTTTAAACTAAACTGAACTCTTACTTTTTTTTTAACTTTTCTACTTATATAGGAGAAATTTTGTCTTTTCTTCTGTTTATATAAACAATACCGAATCAATATTTTCTATCTTTTAAATATACAATCTTACAATCAAACCTGTCATCAAAATGCAACTCAATTTAAAAAATTAAAAAAAAATTTATTAATAAAATAATAATATTACTCTCTAAATTCGAATTAGTAAACTCTAATTTGAATTAGTGATTGACTTTTTGCTTTTGAATTAGTAAATTTTTTTATTATTTATTCAGCATAAACGGGTTTACAAAAAATACTCTTTATTAATATAAAAAAAAATGTATAATAAGAAAATATCTTATAATTAATTATTATTATTAAATTACATAAATTTTACTAATAAATTGGTAGAAATTGCTATTAATCAGTAAAATTTACTAATTGAAAAGCAAAAAGTCAGTCAATAATTAAAATTAGTAAACATTTTTACTAATTTGAATTTAGAGAGTAATAATAATAATAATAGTAGCAGTGGAAAATATTCAAAAATAGCAGAGAAAAATAATATTAATAATAATAATAATAATAATAAATTATGCGCGTACAGGTATAATTAAATTACATAATGAAAAGTTTTGTAAAATACATATTAGACAGATTTCAAATGACTTATGACTTGTCTGTAGAATAAAAAGAAAAGGAAAAAAAGGAATAAATGATACTTTTGAACTTTGTTACAATGGAAACCTGAGTTCTTTTCACTAAGAAAATACGTATATAATATTTCTATAAAAAGAAACAGTTTATGTGACAGAATATATATTTATATACACTCGTCGCAAACTTAAGGCAGAAAATATATAATTAAAAATAAAAAAGCTGAATTAAAAAACAATTTTTAAATATTTTACAAAATATAAAACGAAATCCTAATTTATTAAATGAAATATTATAATTTGACAATTTATTGTCCTAATTAAGTTTTGAACGTTCAAATGAATGAAATTTATTTATTTCTAGCTCAAATTAAAATTTTATTACAATAATTTTCCATCACTAGAAATAAAATTCAATTTTTTAAGTTTCTAACAGTGGAATTTGAATTTTTTTAATTTCATTATAATCAATAATTTATGAAAATATTTTTAATAAAAAATATTTCGTTCATTTGAACGTTCAAAAATTGTGTATCATGAGAATTTTTTTTAATATAGAATCTAATTTTGTTATCAGAAAGAAACATAGACAATTTAAAATCTAAGAACTTAGTGATTATTTATTTTATTTATTATTATTTATTTCTACCTCTACTTCCTGCGCATTATTCATTTAAAAAATCTTATTCCCATAATATAAGAAATTTATTTCCCGCTATTTTGAAAATTTCCATATTTTAAATACAATATTTGCAAAGAAGAAGAAGAAGAAGATTCTTTGCGAAAAGAAAAATTTAAAAAGTCTAAAAAATTAGAAAAAATATAAATTCGAGGTTGAAAATTTTATTTGCTTATGAGATTCAAATATTTAACTACGACACTTTGCGGTAATAAAAAAAGAAGATGAAAAATTTATTGTCTCTTTTGTTTCTGCTGTGAATTTTATCCTAAAGTTATGAGAAATTTATTTATTTCTTCTTCAAATTAAATCTTTATTACAATTTTCGCCTCACTATATCAAAAAAGTTAATTTTTACATAATTTCTAAATGTAGAATTTGAATTTTTAAATTTCCATTGCAATCAGTACGAAAATATTTTTAATAAGAAATATTTCGTTCATCTGAATGTTCAAAACTTGCGAAAGATGATTTATCTTCATTAAATATTGAATAATAATTAAATATTAATTATTAAATAATAATTATGTTTTAATTATTTATTCAATATTTAAATAATCGATCGAATTTAATAGTAATTACATTTTGCATTTTTAAGGTAAATTAATAGCAATTATTTTTTGCATTTTTAAGGTAAATGAATAAATAAATGACTGAATGAACACATTATTAATTTAATAAATAATTAATAAAAAAAAACAGTAATTCATAAAATTTCGATATAAAATAAAATAAAATCATATCAAATTATTCTAAAACAAGTATTTCTCTCTTTTTTTGTATAAAATTCAAGGCAAGTACAAATTCGGTCAAAAAAGTGACCTCGCGCTATTCACGCACTGATGCAAATCGCATTTAATAATATGTCAATTTGCTCGTGATCTTTTTTTAATAGACAGTAGTAATAAAATGATAATAAAAAGAAAATTATTAATTTCAAATACGCAGAAAAATGCCCATAAGACTCTTTTGGCATTATTATTATTACTATTTTTATTATTGTTATTTTTATTATTATTATAATTATTATTATTACTATTTTTATTATTATTATCATTATTATTATTATTATTTTTATTGTTGTTATCATTATCATTATTACTATTTTTATTATTGTTCCTTTTATTATTATTATTATCCTTATTATTATTACTATTTTCATTATTGTTCTTTTTATTATTATTATTAATCCTTCTTTATTTCTGTTTCTGTTGAAGTGTCATTTTCGAATAAAAAGATAAAGATACATAATTATATATATGTATTTAATTGTATATGCGAAATAATTCAACCTTATGCGCACATAAAAGTTTCTCCTGTGAAAAGGGTCACGGTAACGCAAGGTTGTACACCTTTTTTACGTCTATATACACGTCAATAATTGACTCGTGTTTCATTTTATGACCGTGTTAAAAATGCCTTTTGTCTCACTCTATAAAAATACTCTCATCTTGCACGCGCACTATATATGCAATTTTATATTCAGCATCCTCTCAAAATTATCCTCATTACGGATTCATTTATACAATTATTATCTAACCCATTTTTTCAATTTATATTTTTATATTTATTTATATTAAAAATTTTTTAAATTATATTAAATTAATTCTTTTCATTATATAAAATGATTTTATTTTTCTTCTTATTTTTCTTAAACTTATCTTCTTTTTATTAGAATAGAATTTTTATTTCTTATAATGCTACAAGTTTTGTTCTTCTTTTTATTAATTTTTGAAAAAAAATAATAATTTAAATTATTAGAATTTTTCGCAAATAGTCAAATTTGTCTATTTTTTAAATTACGTACAATATTAAAAAAAATACTAAACCTAATTTTGTGAAAATTTTGAGAATTTTTAATATTTGCAAATAATTTTTTTGAATTTTAAACTCACCTCGAACACATCTGATATAATTATTGAATTCCTTTTGAAGCCTAGTTGCTGCATATTGTTGTCTCGTAAAATTAAGAAGATGCTCGTCGAATATGTCATCGGCAGTTCTGTCGACTTTTCCCAAATTTTGTAAAAACTGAAACAAGAAAAAACAATAAGTTAAAAAAAAATACAATAATTATTTGGAAATAATTAAATTGCAGATTTCAGCATCATCAAAAAGGAGATTATCCTTCTTTTGATGCTGCTGCAAAGTCCGCAATGTTTTAAGAAACAAAACCGAACAAAAATTATATTGTTCTAAAATTAAATTCATATCTCGTTTAATTTTTGTAAATTTTTAAGAAGCTGTTACTTAATAGACGATTAGTAAAAAATAACAAATTTGAACCCGAAATAAAATAAATCGAAGCCATTTTCATTGTTTTCGTTTCTTAGAAACATTGCTTAATAGCTAAACAAATTTGGCTACAAAGTTTTTCTACGGATATCAAATTGAGACAAAAAACGAGGCAACACTTTTGATATCCTTAGAAAAACTCTGTATAAATATATAGAAAATGTTCGAAAAATTAATTTTCGTGTAAGAATCGGTAAGAAGTAAATAAATAAGACATCAATATCAGCGTGAGATAAAAATCGAGAAAAGAGATGAGGACGAGAAATTGATATTCACGAGAAGTTAAAAGAAATTTAATTAAACTCAAGTCAAATACCAGACTCGAATATTTGAAAGCAAATGGTAGAATAATAATAGGACTTGATGAGTGGGCGATTTACAAGGTAATATTGTGTTTAAGCGTGGGAGCGAGAGTTTATAAATCCAATGAATCTCCTTATACGAAATAAGCTTTTCGTCTCCCAGGATTATATCACGTATATATACACGCAGAATCAACAAGAACAAACTGCGACGTAATCAATTTATGCCTATTTACCTAGAGCCGCGCACATCACCAATTTAATCGGCCAGTATATATTCATTATATTTATTATCACTAGACTGCGATACAGATGCGCAAATATACATTTTCAAAATTTACGTCACATATTTGCACTATATTTTTTCAGTCGCATAAACTCAGGATATTGCAACCAAATCAAAATACTGACAAAATAGAAAATACATAAATAACCAAAGCTGTTAAAAATCATAAAAGAATCAAAAAAATACAATTTTTTTATGAAAAATCGAAATCTCCATTTTTTATTTTGAAAATCAAATAAAAAATATTTTTTCCTTTCAATCTTTTCAACTTCAACCGCATATTTCTTCAAGATTTTTCCTTCAGGAGAATTACATTTATTTACGAAATTTTTCAATTGTAAAAAATTAAAAATATTCGAAAACATCAATAAATTATTTTTTTTTTAAATATTTAATATTATTATTACTCCATAGGAATTAAATAGATTCAAAAAATTTCAAATTCAAACCTTTATGAAATTCAACCACTTATAAGAATATATTTATTATAAAACATAATCAATTCTTCTGATCCAAAAATTCCATAAGAATATTATTATAAAACATGAAGATAAAAAGAAAATTAAATTATTTTCACGTGAATTCAATTATTTGAAAAAATTCTAATAAAATCGTTGGCAATAATTATTCAATTATTTTCATAAATAATAAAATTCTTCTCAGGAATTCAATTTTTTTTTTGAAAATTTTAATAAAAATCTTAGCAACTATTCAATTATTTTCATCGCAGGATTTCCATTATTTTTATTTTAATAAAATTTTACAAGAATTGCTCAAAAAATGTAATTATTCTTCAAAAATTTAATTTCAATTCCTTGAAAAAATTATTTATTAAAAAAAATGTTTTTCTAAAATTTCTTTGGAAGAATTCAATTATTTACAAAAATATTAGAATTTTTCACAGAAATTCAATTATTTTCAAATATTTTAATAAATTTTTCAAGAGAAATCAATTATTACCATAAATAATAAAATGCTAATTCAAATATTTTTATTAAAATTCTTCGAACGAATTCAATTACATCAATTATTTTAAATAATTTTTGCAAAAGTTCCTTGAGAATTTTTAAATCCATTTGTTTACAATTCAATTTTACAAAATTTCATCAATTATTTAGAAATTCTTCAATTAAATATTTCGAAAATAAAAACTTGAAATAGATAATTTCAAAAAAAAATTCAATTAAACTTTTTCAAAAAAAAATTAATTCTACAGAATTGTCAGTTAAAAATATGAAAAATTCAATTTTTCAAAGATTTTAATTTGAAACATTTTCAAAATTCAATTATATTTTTAAAAATCCATGCTTTAATAGTTTTAATATTCAATTATTATTAGTTTTATTATTCATTAAAGTAATTAAATCTCTGTAAAACATTTTATTATTTATGAAAATAATTGAATATTGCGAAGAAATTTATAAAAAATTTGTAAATAATTGAATTCCTGTGAAATTTTTATTATTTTATGAAAATAATTAAAGTTTTGCGCAGAATTTTATTAAATTTCTTATAAATAATTGAATTCTTTTGAAAAATTTTATTAAATTTTATCTACATATTGAAAAAAATTGAATTAAGTAAAATTTTTGAAAATAATTGAAATTTTGCCAAGAATTTTATAAAAATTTTTTTAAATAATTAAATTTTGAAGAAGAATTTTATTATTATTAAAGATAATTGAAATTTTTACGAGGATTTTTAAAAATTTTTGAACATAATTGTATTTTTGCGAAGAATATGTTATTACTTTTGAAAATAATTGAATATCTGCTATCATTTGTAATTTCTCAAAAATTCCACTTTTTCACAGTACTTTAATAAAAAAAAAAAAATCCCTGAATTTTCCCTGATTTCTTTGACCAATTCTTCTTTCTCTGAATTTCCTGACATGTGGCAACTTTGATTTTATTTTTAAATTAAAAAACTGATAAAAACATTCCGTTAATTATTCACGGTCGCTATTTTAATCACTATATTCTCTAATTGAATAATGATAAGAATAAAAATTGTAACCAGTTTTTTACGCGTGTCAAAAAATTTAAAGAAGAAAAAAAAGCTAGTGCGGATAAAATAATTAGAATTCTGTTCAAATTGATCTATCAAAGCAAAGGATGAGAGGTGAGTGAAAATATAATGAACCAATTATTACAACAAGTGTATTGATGATGCCTTTTGGCATTTGAAGCGCAAATAAAACATGATTGATATAATGTCAATAAATTTCTATTAAAAAATTATCGTAATTCTGTCGTACGATGTCGTCTCAATTTATTTTATGTCATTTGTCCGGTTGAAGTCCTCTTTAACGCTTTTAGAAACGAAAAATCAAAAATAACTTTTTTTTCCCCTATTTTTTGTCCAAGTCGAAAAAGTCTCAATTTTTGAAAATAAATCGAAAAGTTTTTTTCGTCTTAATACCGTTTTCTTAAAAGTATCAAATTGATACTAAAAAATTTAAATAAATTTGTGATTTGATATCAATTCGAACCAATTCAATACTTTTAGTAACCGTGATGTCATTTTCGAATAATTGAGAGAGAGAGGGAGAGAGAGACAAAATTTAAAAAAACAAACAAAAATGTTGAATAATTATTGCAAAATAAGTCCCTTTGATTCGCTTCAATAAAGCATGATGGCATTTCAAAAGATGCATTTCTTCGATTCTTAAATTATTATAACATTACGTTAACGCGTAAAAAAAAAATTCCTTATACAATCACCAATTAATTGTCTCGTTTGACGCTTTTAATTTTCTCAAAGTATTATTGCAATACAAACTTCACGCGATAGAAAAACTTGTTACTATATTATGCAATAAGTTTCCTTTTCTCACTAATTCTCAAAATTCTCCGATAATAATAATTTAATTGCGTATAACCAGAAAAAAGACGTTCTTCAGAGAAAAAGGCAATTTTTTAATTATAATTGGCAATTTCCAATTATTGTTATATAGAGTTAGGCCAATTTTTTCTATTAATTATGTCGTAAAAAATACTAATAAAACTCGACTTTTTTTTAAAAGTAAAAAAAAACTGTTTTAAAACTTTTAGAAATTTCAAAAAAAAACTTTAACAAAAATAAGACAAATAAAGGCCTTTTTTATATTTAATTTATTAATATATTTATATTTTATAAAAGATCTAGGACGTTAAAGATTATTTATCTATTTTTCTTTATTATTTATCGTTACTTATAAATAAAATAAAAAAATTTTCGAATAAAAATAAAATAGAAAAGAAATCCAAGCTTTGTAAACAAAGCCATTATTTTTCATACGAACATTAATTGTATTTCATACACTATTATTTTTTGATAAAAAAAAATGAAAAAAATCAGTGTGTATGACGATTGAGATGAGTTTAATTTTTCAGGTCAGTGCACCGTGAAGAAGTTTCCAAATGGGAAAAATGCCAGAATTTTCTCTCTTTCAACACAAAATAATACAAGTGTCACGAAAACGGAATGATACCACTTCCTCTTGTAAAAATATCTCTCAAAAAGTTTATACACTATTGACCGACATTCTACTATTTAAACAAAAAAATTCTGAAAAAAACCAAAAATAATATTTCCAAACTTTTATTCCGTTTCTAAAAAATTCGAATTAATTAATACCTTAGTACCTTTCTTCAGAAAGGTACCTAAGAAGAATAGTGTATTTCAAGCTTATGTTTGTGTCACTCTTTTCTTCATTAAAAAATTCTGCTTAATTTTGTAAATTGAAAAATAATTTTTATTGAAAAAGTTTAACGGAATAAAGGCTTAAACAATTGTTACAATGCAAAGTTTTGATACGTTTTCTATCTCAATTTTATATCCTTAGAAAAACTGTGGTATTAAAAAATAATTTCTTGAATTAAAAAATGAAATTCTTATTTATTATTATTTTTAATAAAAAATATTCGTTCATTTGAACGTTCAAACCATGTGGGTCATATTTTCGATAAAATTTATCTGCGGTCATAAATAGTTGCTATACACAATCATAATATTAATTTCTTAACTGTTAAAAGCAAAACTGCATGTCAACTGATACTACTTGAAATTAATTGCGAATATTTCTATAATATTGATAAGATTGAGAAAATGAAATCTCAAATTGTAAATTTAATCGCGCAACGAGAATTGTACATGGCAATTGAAAT